TGGGACATTCTTGCCAAGAATGATGGGACCCTGATGATGTGAATGTTCTAGACTACCATCAAAGCCTGCAAAAAAAAAGTCACTCTACCCACCTCCCAAGTGACTTCTTATGACTGTTTTTTTCCTTCCAGCTGCCACAGGGAGATCTGGATGTCCTGTTCTCAAACATTGATGATATCATCAAGGTGAACAGCAGATTGCTTCATGATCTGCAGGAAACAGCCTCCAGGGAAGAGGAACAAGTGCAGCTGATTGGTAAGCAAAAGATCAGGAAGCTGTTAGCTGGAGGTTCCTGTGGAATTGTTTTCGGCATGTGGTCACTGCTGTACTGTCTCCAGAGTTCCAGGGAAATGCAGCTTAATTAATCTGTCTTGGTAATCCCTGAAACATTGCATGTTAGAGCTGGCAAGACCCTCAAATAATATCCAGTCCAACCCCATCGCTTTACAGATGGACTGAGGCCCAGAGACAGGAAGGGACATCCTCATGGACACATAATTGGTTAGTGGCATGGCTGAGTCTATAGTATGGACTCTTTCACATTCGTGCATTGAACAATTATCTACTGAGCACCTGCAGTGTGCCAGTCACTGCTGTGTGCCTGGTCACAGCATCAACAAGAGGATTTGATCTTCTGTTCTTATGGATTAACAAATTAGTGAGAAAGACAGATGATACACAGATAAACAGAAGAATTTTCAGTAGTAATTTATAATTTGAAGACTAACAGTTGTACTAACTTTTGAGATAAGAGAAGGCCTCCTGAGGAGGTGACATTTGAACTGAGACCTAAATGTTAGGAATGAGCCATCAGTGAGAAGATCTGGAAAGAGAGTAGAGAGAATAGCTGTGCAAAGGTCCTGAGGCAGGGATGAGCCTGGGATATTCGAAGGACAGGCAGAAAGAACGCTGATGTGTCTCCAGGGGGATTAGTGAGGGGAGAGTGTTTGGAGATGAGATAGAAGAGGCAGAGAAGGACCAGATTGTGCAGGGCCTTCTAGGCCATGGTAAAGAATGTGGATTTTATTCTAAATGTGATGAGAAGTTGTTGGACAACTTTGAGCAGGGAAGTGATATGGTCAGATTTGTTTTTCAAAGATCTCTTAGGCTGGGGTGGATGGTGGATTGTGAGGGGGTGGCAAGGGCAGAAGTAGGGAGACTAGCTGGGGGATTTAATATCACCTAGGTGAGAAATGAAGGTAGATTCCTGATGCTGAAATGGTTAGGATGACCAGAGTATAAAGAAGGAGGGATCAGTGGGTGTAAACCTCTTCCCTATCTTCTGCAATCTCTTCCCATCTGCTGTTCTGGGGCTACTTAACAAAATGTGCAGGGTCAGGGGTTTTCAAATGGAGTCAGGGGACAAGGAGAATGGTGTCAGGCAGAGAAGAGGACAAGGCGAGGGCACTCAGTCCCGTGGCCACCCAAGTCCCTCTGGCCTTCACATCCCCAATCTTCTACCCTTTCTTAGACATGAATGTGTTGATGAGGATAAAGAGTAACAAATATGCAAACAAATTTTTTGAAAAAGCCCTCTTTCTGAGTGTTCACTGAATGAATGACCAGCACTGTTCTGATATATATGTATTAACTCATTTAATCCTCACAACAGTCTGGAAAGGTAGATGCTGTCATCTCATTTTATAGTTGAGGAAACTGAGGCACAAAGAGAGGAAGTAACCTGCTCAAGGTCATCCAGCTAGTGGCAGAGCCAGGATATGCATTGGGGCAGGAGGCCTCTGGAGCCCATGCCTTCCAACTGCTGCACTGAACAGCTCCCTTGCAGTAGAGTGGGATTAAAGTCTGTGTATAGTGTGTTTATTATTCCCTTGAAAATATGATTCTTTTTTAAAACAGCAATGTGAATGAAGTGCTGTTTCCTATAAATGATAGATGAACACAGACACAAAAAAGAACAAGAGTTTTTTAAAGTATTTGGATAGATAAGCTTCAGGCTGCAGACACTCTAAGGGTCTGGGGACTCTGAGGTCAGGCTCTTCTGTTGCTGTAGGTTTGAGGTTTGACCCGATTCCTGTTAGGGTTCCTCGCTTGTCCATTTCTGCCTTCCTGCTTGACCTACTAGGAGTCAAGATGCCACTCTGTCCCCCAAGCATACCTGGTGACATCTCCATTCCCTGCCTTCACTGCTTCACTGCTTCTCTGGTACAGTTTCCAGGTAAAATATAGGATGGCCAATTAAATTTGAATTTCAGAAAAACAGTAATGTTTTAGTAATTCCCGTGTAACATTTGAGACATATTTACACTGAAACATACTTTATTATTTATCTGAAGCTCAAATTTAACTGAGCATCTTGTATTTTCCCTCACTAATTTGGCAAACCTATTCCCTGGAGTTTACAGAGTCTACAGAAAGTAGCCTCCTCATCCTTTACTCCTCATTGTTAGCCAAGAAGAGGCGCAAAGAATCCGCTTGGCTTTTCTTCTCCTAGGTGCAGCTATGTGCTGGATCAAGGCTGCTTCCTACCAGCTCTCTCTGTTCCCTGCCCAGCCCCCAGGCCCTGCTGTAAAGGTCCTTTTCCCAGTCCCATAGCCACAGCATTTTAAAAGATTTTTGGACCTTAGGCATAACTGTTTTTAACAGTTTTCCCCTCCCAAGTGAGGTAGGTTCCCTGTCCTTATGAATGACTCCCAGTGCAACTCAGATATTCACAGGAGTTCCCACATAGGGTCCTGTCACTGGAAGTCATCATGCTCTAGTACAGTGGTTGTCCAAAAGAAATACAATGTGAAGGAGGAACATTATAGCTCAAGTGGTAGAGTGCATGCTTAGCATGCACGAGGTCCTGGCTTCAGTCCTCAGTACCTCCAGTAAAAATATATAAATAAATAGACCTAATTACCTCCCCCCACCAAAAAACCCCACAAATAACCCAACCAACCAAAAAAAAAAAAGATAAAGAAAAACAAATATAATGACAGTCACAAATTAAATTTAAAAATTTTGAGTAGCTACATTAAAAAAATTAAAGCAGGTGAAATTAATTTTAATGATGTGTCTTACCTAACCCAATATATCCAAAATAATATTTCAACATTTAATCAATGTAAAATTCATTCATGGTACATTTTATTATTATTATTTTTTTGTGTGAAACCTTTGCAATCCCAATGTCTTTTAAGCTGACAGCACATCTCAGTTGGAATTCTTCATATTTCAAGCGCCCAATAGCCACATGTGGCTGTGGCTTGCAGGTCTAGTGTTTTAGAGCAGGGACTGTGGAGTCTGACTGTGAAGGTTCTGCCACCCACAGCTCCTTCATGTCTCTGAGCCTCAGTTTCATGCCTTCTGTGTGAAAATAGTACCCATCTCTGTGCCAGCCATGACTGTGGGTACTTAACATGTAGTAGCCCTTTTCATTCTTCTGACACTGCTATTTGTTGATTATTATTATTATTATTATTACTATTGTAGTCCCCATTTTACTAAAGAAAAATCTGAAACTCAGAGAGGTTAAGTAACTTTCCTAAGGTTACACAACTTAACCAGGTAGTCAGGATTTGAACCCAGCTCTTTCAGACTCTAGAGCCTTAGCTCTTGACCATCCTGCCTCCCTTTCTCATTTCTCCCGGCTAGAGATAGAGTGTCCTTTTGATACTGGGAGTAACTTCTTTGCTGCTGTGACTTCTTTACAGTCTGTGACTAGAAAGACAAGAGGAGAGGAAATAAGTCCTTGGTGCCTGTAGCATTCCTACCTCTCTGACAGCTCTGCTCTAGTTTGCCTTCCTCCACCCTTCAGTTACTAAAACGCCCTTGCCCCTGGCCATACTGATATGATAGGTTTCTTTGACATTAGTCACATTCCTGCAGAATCACCCTCAAGGAGAATGTGGGAACCACCCTAGGTTTGAGGGCTACGCCCAAACTCTCTCTTAGTGAGATCATCTCTGCAGCTGACTGATCTCCCTGTCACACACCTTCTCCTTAGCTGTGGGTTTTAGGTGATCTTTCCTGGCCACAGTCTCTCTCAGTTTCAGGGCTCTCCTGAGGGAATTCTTTCTGAGAATTGGCTGGACCAGCACTGGGGAAGGGGTTTGGTCCTGGGGTGATAGTCTTGCTGTGGGAGTCTTTGCTGAGAGCTGGACCATGCTGGTCTAGGTGCCATCTGATGTGTCCCATGGAGGGCCTGGTGCATTTCAGAGGTACAACCCACAGCAGTTGGGTCACCTGGGCTTCCTATGGTCTGTGGCTCACTTGCCCTTTTGTGGTTAATAAGTTCTCTTCACCGTCACCACTTGCCCCTAGAGGGATAACCAAATGCTCTTGCCTGAATATTTGTAGTAGCCTTCTAACAGCTATTCTTGTTAACACTTTGGACCCCTGGTTTAATCTCAACATAGTATAGACCTCATAGACTTTATTTATTTATTTATTTTAACATTTTTTATTGATTTATAATCATTTTACAATGTTGTGTCAAATTCCAGTGTACAGCACAATTTTTCAGTTAGACATGAACATATATACATATTCATTGTCACATTTTTTTCTCTGTGAGCTACCATAAGATCTTGTGTATATTTCCCTGTGCTTTACAGTATAA